TCTGCTGACTCTCAGATCAAACTTAGATTCATGAATCTGATCTTTAAGACCTTGTTGTAATTTGCCCCAAAGACTATCTTTGATCGCCACTATTCACCAACTCTCTATTGGTTTCCTCTGAGAGTATTAAAAACATCAGTTTTCAATTTCAAGTCTTGGCTATTTCTAGCTCTTGGCTTATTCTCCCCATCTTCTGTTACTGCACATCTGATTATAACCCATCCCTTTAATCCCAACCTCATCAGGAAGATGTTCCTGGTGATTAGACGTTACCACTCTTCTCTGTCTCTAATATTGCATATCTATTTTATCAAATAGTAACATGGAACAAGTCTCACTGACCTAGGAATAAAATGACAAGGGTTCTGGCAGCAGGTCCCTATTCTGAATTGGGACATGTTCTTTAATGCCACAGATTTCCTCTTGGGTAAAATGAAGGGTTTGTGAATTAGCTACCTCCTAAGTCGCTTCCCATCATGGATTCAATATATAATGAGTACCCACCCTTGCTAAGCTTTGTCCTAGATGCTGAAGATATGATGGTGAAGAAGACAAATGATTATCTTCCTTTAGTTCAGTGGTTCTTGAACTTTAGCCTGTATCAGAATCACCTGGGGGCTTGTTGAAAGAAATTTCAGGAAGCACATGCACACACTTGCACACACACATCACTCCCACCACCCAAGAGTTTCTGATGCAGTAGGCTTGAAGTCAGGCACCAAAGTTTGCATTTCTAAGATGTTTCTATATGATGCTCATAATGTTGGTCCAGGAGCTACACTTAAAGAACCTATGTTTTAGTGCAATGTCTGTCTTTTTCCCTGTTGTATTGCTAGAAACTAGAATAAATATTTACGGAATCAAAGAACAAATATAAGGCACTTTGTTCATTAACAAAGAGGACTCCAGCTCCTTCCTTGAATGATGCTATAGTTTAGAAAATCACAATTCTAGTAAAAGCTAGAGGAGTTACTCTCATTAAAAGGTACAGATAAGGAATGGTTTATATCTAAAGGAAACGAACTTCCAATCTAGAGAAAGGAGGAGGGAGATTAAGGAGAACTTTGTGGAGGAGTGGATTTTGACCTATCCCTTGAAGGTCGAATACACTTATTTCAAAAATGCCTGAAATAGCTAAAAATATTTTTAGTACCTATCTTTAGAACCTATCCATTAATCTATGGTAATTTTTTAAATTGATTTTAGAGAGAGGGAGAGAGGAGAGAGATGGAGAGAGAGAAACATCAATGTGAGAAAGAAATATCTATAGGCCATCTCCTGCATGTGCCCCAACTGGGGATTGACCACCCTCCCCCCCACCCCCCAACCTGGATATGTGCTCTGACCAGGAATGAAACTTGCCACTCTCTGGCGTACTCGATGATGCTCCAATGAGCAACACCAGCCAGGGCTGGTGAATAATGTTTTAATGCCCACAAAGCCTATAGAATCTTTACATTCTGATGTAAGACTTGATATGTGGAAATATTTGCTATCATATTTTGGCCAAGTCGGGTCAGAAAGTTAGGTGATTTAGTTGCATAATGCTATTCTTGGTTGAAAACAAGGATACATTGAGTTAGAAATGAGACCTGAAACAATTTCAGGGTAGGAGTTTAAGAATCATTTTGAAAAATGGAGGCCTGCCAGTTTAGTTTCTGTAAGTGATTACTTTGAAGGACAGCTCCCATTTGGCCATATGCCCTGTTGTATTTGTTTAAAAATCACTCTTAGCACAGTTGATATTTTGATTTATTGAAAGAATTGATCCCTGAATGTGTAAGATGTCATGTGCATTTTTCTTCAGAGTGTATGTCATGCTATAAATATTTAAAGTTAAAACATTATGGGAACAAAGAAAGTCATAAAAAAAAGGAATTTCTTCCAGGTTAGATCTATGCTGGTAACAGAAATGTACATTGGTTTCTAAAAGTGCTTGGTAATTCTTGGCCACTCAGTTCATTATAAGTAACAATTTATGTGTCCTGAGCATTGAGCTATGTGCTGGGTCACACTGGTCCTCTATGAATGGAGTCATATCAAACCATTCTTCCGGTTTGAAAGAGAACACGGAAGACCTATGACCAAGAGCACAATCTTATAGTCATGCTTCTCCCTGCCTGTATGTTCCCAGAGCTCCTCAACTACCCTGTTTACCCATCGTTTAAGCCCAGGATATCTTCAATGTGGGGTCAGCAAGTACTAGTGGTATTAGGTCAGCATTAAAGTAGCAATGAATTTTTTGTTAATCTTCACCTGGGAATATTTTTTCCATTGAGATTTAGAGAGAGTGGAAGGGAGTCAGGGAGGTGTGGCGGGGGGGGGGGGGGGGGGGGAAGTAACATCGATGTGAGATAGACACATTGATTGGTTGCCTCCTGCACACACCCCGACCAGGCCTGGGGAAGAAGCCTGCAACTCAGGTATATGTGCCCTTGACCAGGAATCAAACACATGACCCTTTAGTGTGAGGGCTGACCCTCTAACCACGGAACACACTGACCAGCACTAAAAAGTATTATAGTTTTTTAAGACCACTAATATCTCATACTTTTTAACAGAGAGTACTAAATTTAGGTTGGCCTGATACACATGAAAAAAAAAAAAATCAAACACTTCAAGTCCTTCTGTTTAGATCAATGATTCTTAAAGTGGGGTCCCCAGACCAATGGCATCAGCATCTCTTGTGAACTTGTTAGGAAAGCAAATTCTCCATTCTCACCTCAGAAATACTGAGTCAGAACCAGGCAGGAGAGGGGAAGAGACCCAGCAATCTGCTTAAGCCATGGCTCCAGGTGGTTCTGATGCCTGCTCCAGTGTGAGTCCCCCTGGGATATAAATAGCAGCAGCAAGTGAAGAAACTGCCAGAGAAGCAGTGCAATCTTTTAAAATCTTTTTAATTTATTCCAATAGCCTATTACCGTCCTCATAGTTACTACATTTAACATACACACAATTACACACATAATCGATGTCTAAGTTGTCGACAGAATGTGTGTAAAAAAGCCATGGCTACTCTCTAAAGAGATAGTATGGGAATAAGACAAATAGACTTGTGTTTAGTTTTCCCAAATTATATTTTTCTTAACTCCCTTCACCCCTGCTCCACATCCAATGAAAGAATCAGGGGGAAAAACACTGATAGCAGTCACTATTCTATTTCTTTTGATGGAGCGGGAAGATTTTATTAGGTGATAAACACTTTTATCACTTGCAGATATCACTTATCATGAATAAATAGCTATGCCCAAGTCTGTTTTAAAGAAAAATTAAAACATTTAAAGGTAAATGAAGGCTTTGCCTTATTTGTAGCTAAACCTTCATTTTCATTTCAGATCTATACATTAAACTGTATATGATATACACCTATGATACATAACACAGTTTTTGATGAAATTTAAAGTTTCATAATTCCTTCAAAAGGCATATGTGGGCCCTGCCGTTGTGGCTCAGTGGTGAGGGTCGATCTATGAACCCGGAGGTCACGGTTTGATTCCAGGTCAGGGCACATCCCCAGGTTGTGGGCTCGATCCTTAGTGTGGGGAGCGCAGGAGGCAGCCAGTCAATGATTCTCTCTCATCATTGATGTTTCTATCTCTCCCTTTCCCTTCCTCTCTGAAATCAATCTTTTAAAAAAGGCATAATTGGAATAAAATGATTCCCTGTTTAGGAATTAAGTCTTAGGCTTTGGGGCAGTGCAGTTCATAGACGTATAACTCACATATGTAATTTAAATTTTCCTAATGAACCACATTTTAAAAACTGAAATAAGTGATATTAATGTTAAATCGTATTTTGTTTAACCTTACATATTAAAATATCCCTTCAACATGTAAACAATATAAAGTTAATGAGATTTTACATCTCAAAATATTCTCTTCAAAATATTGCTTGTGTTTTACATATATAGCACATCTCAATTAGAATGTTAAATTTTAACTGGATGTACTTGATTTTTATTTAGATGAAATGTAACTTATCATTGCAAAAGTAGATACTATACCTAAGTTGTTTCAAACATACTAAAAAAAATTCCAGTGGCCTAACTATGTTTTGGTTTTGATGTTTACATTAATAATAAATAAATAAAATTAAAAGTTCAAATTTCTCAAACTAGCCATATTGGAAGTAATCAAATAGCTACAGGTGGCTAGTGGCTACCGTAAGGGGCAGCGCAGCTTCGGAGCTATAATAAACCATACCTGTGTAGAAATTTTGGCTTTGCCATTTACTGGCTGCTCAGCAAATTACCTAGCCCTCTACAAGCTTCAGTTTTGTTAAATGGGGGTGGGGAAAACACACACAAATATACACAATTTCTGCCATCAAAACTCGCAACAGACTGAAATAACTACAGTTTGCTCTTCGCTTCATAGTAGAGGTGAAATTATTGCATCAGTTTATAACAATCAGAACCAATATAAACGCCTACAATATACTAGTAAGAATTGCTCAATTTAATTCATACTCTGCAGCTGCAGCCATAAACGTTATTTATTATTCATCATTAATATTATTATCGGTTAAAGAAAAAAATAATATTATGAATAGCTCAACTGCAGCCTGCATGCACATAGAAAAACTTGCAAGGGCCGACCACCGAGACACAGCGGTCAGCGGCGGGAGCGGATGGGGGCGGGGATGAAGCCGCGCACACTTTCGGCTTGTGTTTCTGGGAAGCTATTTTCCAAAAATATTTTCCTATTCCTTTTGTAGTTTAAGGAGCAAATCCGAAATGTGCTCAGAAACGATTACACTTTCACGTAGCTGACAAGCAGAAACGGCTCTACGGAAACACTTGTTATCAGAATAAAGAAAAGGCAGCCCTACGCTTTCGGTCGGCGGTTTCCCGCGCGGGCGAACGGAAGCCGACGGGCCCTTGACGTCAGGGCGGGGGCGGTGTCTCTTGTTGCCATGGTGAAGCCTCTGCGGCCATCTTTACTGTGGTTAGTGCGCACCAAGCTTTTCCTGGCGAGGAGCGGTGCCGCGCCGGGAGTCTACGCAGTAAGAGACGAGAAAGGAATCGTGCGTCTAGGACTCTAGGTCGTAAGTCGCTGGCAGAGCCGCGTAGACGCAGGGACAGAAAGCATCAGGTGGTTTAGAGGAACGTGCAAGTGCCGATTCTGCGGGCGGGCGGAACGACTTCGGCGCCCTGGTGAGGTTTCTACCCGGAATTAGAGCCGCTTCCGTTGCTCAGCGGAAGTGTGGGGCGGAGAAGGACGACTCGCCGGGATCCCGCTCGCCGCTGTGTGCACGGCCGGAATCATGTCGAGTTTGTCGGTGAGAGACCCGGCCATGGATCGGTCGCTGCGTTCCGTGTTCGTGGGGAACATCCCGTATGAGGCCACTGAGGAGCAGTTGAAGGACATTTTCTCGGAGGTGGGTTCCGTTGTCAGTTTCCGGCTCGTGTACGATAGAGAGACGGGGAAACCCAAGGGTTATGGCTTCTGCGAGTACCAAGACCAGGAGACCGCGCTTAGTGCCATGCGGAACCTGAATGGGCGGGAGTTCAGCGGCCGGGCGCTGCGGGTGGACAATGCGGCCAGTGAAAAGAACAAGGAGGAGTTGAAGAGCTTGGGGCCTGCGGCCCCCATCATTGACTCCCCCTATGGGGACCCTATCGACCCGGAGGACGCCCCTGAGTCAATTACCCGAGCAGTCGCTAGTCTCCCCCCGGAGCAGATGTTTGAGCTGATGAAGCAGATGAAGCTCTGTGTCCAAAACAGCCACCAGGAAGCGCGAAACATGCTGCTTCAGAACCCGCAACTGGCTTATGCGCTGTTGCAGGCGCAAGTGGTGATGAGAATCATGGACCCAGAGATTGCTCTGAAAATTCTGCATCGCAAGATACACGTTACACCGCTGATCCCAGGCAAATCTCAGCCTGTGTCTGGTCCTGTCGCTGGTCCTGTCGCTGGCCCCGTCGCTGGCCCCGTCTCTGGCCCTGTCTCTGGCCCTGGCCCTGGCCCTGGGCTCTGCCCAGGACCTAATGTGTTGCTGAACCAGCAAAACCCTCCAGCTCCTCAGCCCCAGCATTTGGCTAGAAGACCTGTGAAAGACATCCCTCCTCTGATGCAGACCCCTATCCAGGGTGGAATTCCGGCCCCGGGGCCCATGCCAGCTGCAGTTCCTGGACCTGGTTCTTTAACTCCTGGTGGAGCTCTGCAGCCCCAAGTTGGAATGCCAGTGGTTGGTCCTGTGCCTTTGGAGCGGGGACAGATGCAGATGTCGGATCCTAGAGCTCCTATGCCACGTGGACCCATGACTGCTGGTGGACTACCTCCTCGAGGGCTGTTGGGAGATGCGCCAAATGACCCGCGTGGAGGGACTTTGCTTTCAGTCACTCACACTGGAGAAGTGGAGCCCAGGGGCTATCTTGGGCCACCTCATCAGGGCCCCCCCATGCACCATGCCCCTGGTCATGACGGCCGTGGCCCTTCCTCACATGAGATGAGGGGAGGGCCAATCACGGATCCTAGAATGCTAATTGGAGAGCCCAGAGGACCGATGATAGATCAAAGGGTTCTGCCTCTGGATGGTAGAGGTAGTAGAGACTCTCGAGGGATGGAGACCCGAGCCATGGAAACTGAGGTCTTGGAGGCACGAGTGATGGAGAGAAGAGGAATGGAGACCTGTGCAATGGAAGCCAGGGGCATGGAGGGAAGAGGAATGGAGATACGGGGCCCTGGCCCCAGTTCAAGAGGCCCTATGACCAGTGGAATCCAGGGTCCTGGTCCCATTAATATGGGGGCTGGTGGTCCACAGGGACCCAGGCAGGTCCCAAGCATTTCAGGGGTGGGAAATCCTGGAGCTGGCATGCAAGGAGCAGGCATGCAAGGACCAGGTATGCAGGGAGCAGGCATGCAAGGACCAGGTATGCAGGGAGCAGGTATGCAGGGACCAGGTATGCAGGGAGCAGGTATGCAGGGAGCAGGCATGCAGGGAGCAGGTATGCAGGGAGCAGGCATGCAGGGAGCAAGCATGCAGGGAGCAAGCATGCAGGGAGGAGGCATGCAAGGGGCAGGCATGCAGGGAACAGGCGTACAGGGGGCAAGCAAGCAAAGTGGAGGCCAGTCTAGCAGTTTTAGTCCTGGGCAGAGCCAAGTAACTCCACAGGATCAAGAAAAGGCAGCTTTGATCATGCAGGTTCTTCAACTGACTGCAGATCAAATTGCCATGCTGCCTCCTGAGCAAAGGCAGAGTATCCTGATTTTAAAGGAACAAATCCAGAAGTCTACTGGAGGTTCTTGAAATACTTCATAGTAATCCCAGAAAGTTTTTTTTTCCTTTTTCTTTTTTCTTTTTAGCATGGAGAATGGGTGCAAAAAGCTGACTACTGCATCCCCCAGTTGAATGATTAGGGCAGAACCTAATCTCTTTTGTTGTTCTTGTCTTTTTTTTTTTTTTTTTTTTTTTTCCTGTTTTCCTTTTTATTTTTAATCGGGAGGGGGAAGAATGGGTCTGTTCACTTTAATTCACTGTAACTATACAAAAATAACTCTGAAAGGGATACTATACCAAATAAGATTACAAATAATATGCAGCAATACTAAAAGTGTGTACAATATGTTAACTTCTTTTAAAAACAATATTAAATAAAGCAATGTGAAATCTTTACAGAAGACGAAAAGATAACCTGTTAAAAAGATAATTTACCAAGATAGTTTAAGAATTTTGGTTGTATAAGAAAACAAGTTTACCTCCAAAATGTAAGATCCATTTTTTGGTAAATCAGAATACAAAAACCTATTTTAGGGGCAATAGAAAGTTGTGTTAAGTTAAGCATTCTTTCAGTGTTTTGGAATTATTTAGAAATGTTAGAATTAACAGGATAAATCTAAACTTGTGGTATTGGGATTGTTTTTTTCTAAAGCTGTGCTACCTGAATATCAAAGAATGCATCTGGTGTGATGTTTCATTTATCTCATCTTTCAGGGGCCAGTGATATTCTGGCCTGGCTTGAAAATGATACTTTACTGGGACAGTTCTAGGATTAACCAGTTTACTTAACTCTCCTGTGACAAGACTCAGTATCTCTCTCCATACCTTCCTATGTCTCAGTAACCATTGGGCCCTAAATCTAAATCTGAGTTATTCTCTCACATCCTTCCCTAAAATCAGTGTCTAGGGACCAGTTTATCTGAGTGAATTATAGACCACATTGGGCTTTTCATAAATGGTAAAGGGCTTCCTTCATGCAGTAAAACTCTGCTTCTAGCTTTTATATGCAGATGCTTCCATCTGGTCAACCAGAAACAGGAATTAAAAATCTTAGTCTCAGCAATATTTAACATACCTTTTAGTTTTCTTATATCAAAATCTATTTGTGTATCACCATCTTATCAAAATAATCCAATCCCAGGTAGGTAGATAAAATCTTGTAGCCTGAATTCTCTGCTTAGTGGTTATTAATCATTGCTTTTTATAAGGCATAAAGCCACTTAGTTCTAGTATAGGTACCACTGAGACATAGTTAAAAATCAGTAGAAAGGTGAAGCTTATCACATTTCCTTCAGAGCTACTACCTAATTTATTTTGAAGCCTTGAGAATGTGGACATAAAAGTATAGCATCGACTACTAGTGAACAGAAGTATAAACACCCAAATAACCAGGTGTTCTTAACTCTGGAGAAAAACCAACAAAAACTAATACTAGTTACAGAGGGGGAAATGTCATTTAATACAAGGAGAGAACTGAGACTTGGAATTGAATTATTTTTCCTTTGCAAGGTGTATACATCTTAAATGGGTATAAAGTTTTCATCCATATGCTGTTTCCACTTACCCATTTTTTACTGTTGTTTATACTGTTACTTTTCCTGTGTATCCTATATGCTCCCCCTAGATTGAAGGGGATAACTCTACATGTGATAGTTCTGTACACTAATTCACAGAGTTGGCTTGATCACTTTGAAATTATAGTTCCTTTAAAGCTTTCTTTGAAGGACTAAATGAAAACCATTAAATGTTATGTTCTTTGTTGCAATAAAATGTCTGCATTGTTGAATGAAGACTTAATAAAAAGAATGCACAATACCTGACGTTTATTTCTAATGACTGCATTGTTCAAGTGGTCTATTGAGAGATCCGCAGGGCCTGAACACTTTTTTTTTCTCTTAATGAAAAAGAACTAAAATTGTAGGAATGAATGGGAATCCCTCTCTTAGATTTATTATCTATATTGTTCCACAACTGAAATAAATTCTGTGGTTGGTATCAGTAGCAACATCTTGGTGGATACTCAGACATTAGATTTTCCTTTTATTTATGTTCCCCACAGAGAACTCTTCCTTGTATCCCAGGATCACCTTATGGGTATCTTCATTACTGACAGCACTTTCATATTGCAATGCACTATGTTAAATTTTACTTTCTACCCCCCATTGCCACTTCTAATAGACCGGGAACTCTGAATGTACACTGTCATTTATTTCTGTAGCAAAAATCACAGGTGAGAACGAAGGACAAAACATTGTATCAGAGTCTTGGGGGGGAAAAAACTCCATTAAGAGCACATAAATTTTCCCAAAAAGGGGAAAAAGGGATTTAGATTGCACACAGACCAAATGAACTATAACCACTATTTGCATTAGAAAATAAGCCAGAAATAGATAATAGAAGCAATCTTCTTTACTTTGGTAAACCTAATAGGTTCTTCCTAATTCACTGCCTGGTTGTCCCCAGTATTAATGAATAGAGCCTTAATTCATTTTGATAGTGAAAAATACAAGCAGTGTGTGTCTGCTACTATTAGTTTTACTACATAATGGTTAGAACCCCTGGCATCCTGCATTTCCCAAATTTGGATAGACTGCAAATGAAATCACAAATTCCTAATAACAATAGTTGAACATAGTGGATGAAACACTGATTTGCAAGTGCCTATTGAGCAGTATATGTTTCTTGGGAATAGGGAATTATCAGATTAATCATCTAGTACTTCCCCTCTTTTATTAGTAACATCAAAATGTGTTTTAATGTCTGCTGATATCTTTGGCTCAGGACTACTTATTTTGGGGTATTTAGTGAGATAAAAAGCAATGTGAATCTCAGGTGAAGGCTGGCAAATTCAAGTGAGATCATATGTGACTTTTCAACTATACTTGTCAGAATTCTAATTGCAGAAAAGAAAAAAAGCCCTTAATCACAGCTTGCAAAGCTTTTGTTTTTCCACGCTGTGATGGGACATTAACTAAGCACATGGAACCTAATTTCCTATGGGGTGTCAGGCCTTTTTCTTAGATCTGATGAGGTCTACAGATAATTATGTGCAACAACCTACTGTGGCAGAGAAACAGAACTATCAGTTACGTCTCAGTCTTCTCACAAAAAGAATATGTCAGCCTCTCAGTGCTTTACATTGTCAGCTAATCTCTAGACAGACTTCTGGTTGGAGCTTTGCTTTTCTCATCAGTCCCTTGTCAAGAATGCTCAATAGTCAATCCCTGCTGGCTTGGCTCAGTGAATAGTGTCGGCCTGCGGACTGAAGGGTCCCGGGTTCGATTCTGGTCAAGGGCCCATGCCTGGCTTGTGGGCTCTATCTCCAGTAGGGGGTGTGCAGGAGGCAGCCAATCAATGATTCTCTCTCATCATTGATGTTTCTATCTCTCCCTTCCTCTCTGAAATCAATAAAAATAAATAAAAAAGAATCCTCATTAGTCAAGAATGATTTATTTTAAGGAAATTATTTCTTTTTTTTTTTTAAATGTATTTTATTGATGTTTTACAGAGAGGAAGGGAGATAGAGAGTTAGAAACATCGATGAGAGAGAAATACCGATCAGCTGCCTCCTGCACATCTCCTACTGGGGATGTGCCCGCAACCAAGGTACATGCCCTTGACCGGAATCGAACCTGGGACCTTTCAGTCCGCAGGCCGACGCTCTATCCACTGAGCCAAACCAGTTTCGGTGGAAATTATTTCTATTAAATAGAAAAATTTAATATTAAACGGTATATTAGACAACATGCTAGTATATTTCATATATATTTCTTTTTTTAGGAGTAACTTGCTTTTGTATTCTTTTTAAAAATTTATCTTTATTGTTTAAAGTATTACAGATATCCCCCTCTTTTTCCCCATTGATCCCCTCCACCCCACTTCTGTCCCCTTGGTCATGGTCAAAGAAGGTTCACTGTGGACCTAGAAGTGCATGCTGAGGCCCCAGGGGAAACAAATCTCTACCTATCTGAAGTAAATAAAGGAGACAGACCCTCTATTAGAAACCATATGGAAAAATGAGAAAACAAACAAAAATCCTGTTCCTTCACAGATAATTTAATGAACATTAGGCTTAGTGGGAAACCTAACAGAAAACACCATAGTTGACATTTCTGTTGTTTGGGGAAATCACCTGAGTTTGCAGTTAGTCTATATGTGTGAACTTTTTTTTTTTCAGGGGTGGAGAGGAAGCTATGTCAAATTGATTATAAGTAATACATTTATACTCATTACACATTATCTCACGTCAAAAATTGTTTCAGCCAAGCTGTAAAAATTACCTCAGAAAACCTGAATTGTTTTGGCTACTTCTTCCTGCTCATCCCTGCCTCCGTGAGCTCCTTGCAAGTAACCAACCCCATCGCCATGTCTCAGGCTGAGTTTGACAAAGCTGCTGAGGAAGTTAAGCACCTCCAGAGCAAGCCAGCAGACGATGAGATGCTGTTCATCTACAGCCGCTACAAACAAGCAACTGTGGGTGACATAGATAAAGAACAGCCCGGGATGATGGACCTCAAAGGCAGGGCCAAGTGGGATGCATGGAATGCGCTGAAAGGAACTGCCAGGGAAGATGCCATGGAAGCTTATATCAGCAAAGTAGAAGAACTAAAGCAAAAATACGGAATCTAGGGACTGGATTTGGCTGCCAGCCACACTTTTCATCTAAATTGGTAATCATGCCTTGTTTCTCTAATACCATGGATGAAGTGAAATAATGAAATTAACCCTCTTCCTGAACACTGTCCAGGATATGGCTCTAAGAGATTAAGGAGCTGAAATAAATGGTTACTCGCCTTGCTGAGTAGTTTTTATCTATAGATCAATTAAAAAAAAAAAACTTGCTTAATTAGAATATTTTGTGAAGCGGAAATGAGATGATTTATAGAATCAATGATTGATAGGGATTTTGTTGCCACTGTTTTCAGATAAACTGCATTAGTTACTTTAAGAAACAAAAGCAAACCTTAATTGTTTTCCAATCCACAAATCTTATCATCATCTTGCTAAAATATATTACTATCCAGTCAAGAATGTTACTGACTTCATACTGGGGTACTATACTTCCCTTTGTAAATGTCTCTATCCATGATCCTGAAATATTTCCTAGATAACCTCACACATCTTATCATTTAGTAGACAAACAGCAGAACTCCCCAAACCATCTACTTAGCATAATGCTTCCTTGAGAAGTAAATCCTCAATAGAATTCTGCTGCTAAATATTTTTTTAACCTTACCTTATCTAAATATCCCTATACTCCAAAAAGAAGGAACTGGTATAACAGGAACAGTTAACAGTATCTGCCCAGCATTTGTTCTGTTATTTTCAGTAGATTTATTGGAAATGGTAAAAAACTCTATAACTGCAATTTCTGCCTTAAAACTTTGTATTTGAACCTGATCCTAATTAAGGGTACAGATTAACCAAATCAACATTTGTAAATTAAGCAAAATAGGATTTTCTTCCCATTAGAAAAAATTTTAGTGATTAAACGTTTCTAGCAAACAATTTGTATCCAATCAAGGCCTTTCAAATGGTGATGTTAATGCCTCATTGTGAGGCTGTGAAGGTGACTTTAGAACATGGGAACCTCTCGTTGTCACGTGTATTCAGACGCTTGTATTATAGTTCTTAATTTGGGTCTTTGTTTGTATAGAGGGGAAACAAAACTTGCTTAATTAGAATATTTTGTGAAGTGGAAATGAGATGTTTTATAGAATCATTGATTGATAGGGATTTTGTTGCCACTGTTTTCAGATAAACTCAATTTAGCAATTTCCTCTCTAGCAAGTGCTTCTGCTGGGATATGCAAAATAGTTGAGTCTTGAACAGTAATAGTCTTGGTTTGAAAAGGGTCCTAAAACTGCCCCTCCTGAGGAATAGAGCTGGATAATCTTGGGAAGTGGAGAAAAGAGGCTTTTCTTCATCTCCTGTCTGAACTCTTTCACCCAGCCTTGCTCTCAAGGAGAGGGAAGATAGATGAGCTGGCCAGTGACACAGCCAGAGCCAGCCAGGGCAGGGTTGTGGAACTGACATCCTATCAGGGCCAACACTGCTGAAGTTTTGCAAATGATCAGAGCTGGAAAGTGGTGGTTGTGCACAAATGTACTCTTCACGGGGAGAGAGGAAAAAAAAGGGGGGAGGGGGGAGACAGCTTAAATTTTTTTTTCTCACTAAGTCCCCCAAAACCACAGACCTGACCCATGTACATGATCATGGCTGCCAACTCAAGCAAGTAGCACTCTCTCCTGCTCATCTTCAGTCACCCAGTGTGTCTTTTGGGTCTTACCTGCCATACCACTAAAGCCTTTTGTTTTGATAAGGAAAAGGGTGGGGGGGGGGACCACTTGCATTGATATAGACATAAATTATAATTGTTTAAAACATTTTTACTCTAAAAGGCATTTTTATTTACACAGTGACCAAATGTTTTGAATTGCTGGAAGATGCCTATCATAGTGTGCCAGAAGCCAGTCCATCCTTGATGCTTGACACAGTCGCTGCAGGGAAGAAACATCTGCACAGCATATGTTTCAAGGGACCTGGGGTATATGGCATACTGTTCTTAATATGTTTGCTCCCCTTCTTAGTGCTGTGTTTTAACCAAGGTCACCTCTCTGAGAAAGGTTGTTTCCCCAGGTGGGGATTTTCCCCTGGAGTTAGGCATTAACAGGACTAAGGAAGGGAATAAAACCCCTTAACTAAGTGCCAGGCGGGTAATTAATCACTTTAACTATGAACAATCATGCTTAAGCTACATAATCTTTACTTAGGATAATCTCCTTCAGTTACTTCCTTGTAGCTTAACAGAACAATAGAGTAGTGACCTTGGAATGGAGATAATAAATGCCCTAACCTTTGGAATAGAATGGATAGGATTAAAATCAACTGGTATAAATACAGATGTAACAGGAGAAAAAAAAAACCAGAACCTGGCGGGAGAACCTCGCTATGCTGATCAACTGAACGCTGTCTCCGTGTCATTTCTTTTTCGCCGACTCTGTCCACACCTTTGGAAATCCCTGGACCTGATGGGGTTGGACCCCAACAATAGTGGAATTTCTGACATTAGCCACAAGCCTAGGGATCTGGGAGATACCTGCTTTTGAGAGAGGGCAGTGGTAGCAAGGATATTTCCAGTGCTCCAGAACTAATACAGTTTCAAAGATAAGGTCTGTGCACTCTTCTGAAAGGCTGGGTCACAGTTAACATGTAAAAAGCATTTATCAAGAACCTACTGAATGCCAGGTACTTGACATACATCATCTTGAATTTCACTGAAGTCTGAAAGCGGTATGAAGAAATATGCTCATAGAAGTTAACTAGTCTGCCCTGAGCCACCTAGCTTGTAGGATGTAGAAGCACCATCAAATCTGTTTGTCTGACTCCCAAGCCCTTACTCTCCCCATTATATCATTCTGCTTTAAGAAGGAGACAGTAGAACAGTTCCACACTGAGGACTGGATGTAAAGGGACATCAGGCTTCATTTCCACTGAATGAGGAAGTTCATCACAGGTCTATAGAGAGGTGATGTGTAGGCAACAGTGAAAGATGTATAAAATCAATCTTTTGTCCTTAAAATTTTCTTTTTCTTCCATGAACCAACTAAATGGAGGATATAGTAGACTAGAGAGAAAAAGACAACACACTTAAATGGAAATATTTATATGGAATAACAATAGATTATAAGAATTCTATAGGATCCTCACCCTGGCAAATGTGGCTCAGTGACTTGGAGCCTCATCCTGTACACCAAAAGGTGGAGGGTTTAATTCCCCATCAGAGCACATAGATTTTGGGTCCCATCCCCGGTACAGGTAGGGGTGCATTTTGGAGGCAACAGATTGGTCCTTCTCTTTTTCTCTCTCTCTCTCAAATCAATTTTTAAAAAATCTATAAAACTAAATATGTTGTTCTGTATAATTCTGGTTAACAGCTAATTTAAATGATCATGTGACCTATTTTTCCTGCGACCTATTTTTGCATTTATATTAATACTAGAGGCCCGGTGCACAAAAATTTGTGCACTCGCGGGGGGGGGGGGCGGGGGGCGTCCCTCAGCCCGGCATGTGCCCTCTTGCAGTCTGGGACCCCTCGGGAGATAACGACCTGCTGGCTTAGGCCTGCTCCCGGGTGACAGAGGGCAGGCCCAATCCCCAGGTGCAGCCCCTGGTCGGGCTCAGAGCAGGGCCGATTGGGGAGTTAAGGCGCTGCCCCCTGTCATGCACAGAGCAAGGCGGATCGGGAGGTTGCGATGCCACCTTCAGTCACGCTCAGGGTAGGGCCGATTGGGGGTTTGGGGCACTGCCCGCTGTCACTCTCAAGGCAGGGTCGATGGGGAGGTTGCGGTGCCACACCCTGTCACGCACAGAGTAGGGCCAATCGGGGTTGGTGCGCTGCCCTGTCACGCACAGAGCAGGGCCAATCAGGGGGTTGGGGCGCCGCCCTCTATCACCCACAGAGCAGGGCCGATCAGGGGGTTGGGGCGCCGCCACTGTCACACTCAGGGCAGGGCCAATGGGGAGGTTATGGTTCTACCCCATCACACACAGAGCAGGGCCCGTGGGGGGGTGGGGTAGGGGTGGTTGGGGCGCTGCACCCTGTCACACACAGAGCCGCAGGGCGATCAGGGGGTTGGGGAGCTCCCCCCTATCAGGCACAGAGCAGGGCTGATCAGGGGGTTGGGGTGCCTTCCCCTGTCACGAACAGAGCAGGGCGGATAGGGAGGTTGTGGCCCCGCCCCCTGTCACACACAGAGCTGCAGGGTGATCAGGGGTTTTGGGCGCTGCCCCCTGTCACACTCATCCTGGTGCCAGGAGGCCTCTCGGCTCCGCTGATCCCGGTACTGGGAGGCCTCGCGGCTCCACTGATCCCGGTGCTGGGAGGCATATTACCCTTTTACTATATACGATAGAGGCCTGGTGCACAGGTGGGGGCTGGCTGGTTTGCCCTGAAGGGTGTCCTGGATCAGGGTGGGGGTCCCCACTGGGGTGCCTGGCCAGACTGGGTGAGGGGATGATGGCTGTTTGCAGCTGGTCACACACCCTTCAGGGTGGGGGTCCCCACTGGGGTGCCTGGCCAGTCTGGGTGAGGGGCTGAGGGCTGTTTTCAGGCTGGCGGGTGACTGAAGCTCCCAACCGCTCCTTTTTTGCTTTTTTTTTTTTTTTTATTCTGGGCCAGCTTTAGCTCTGGCTCCAGCTCTGTGGCCTCTGCTGCTGAAAGCAGGTATCTGGTTTGTTTGTGTTCTATAATCAAAACACTGCTGAGCCAAACCAGCTAGGGCTATAATCAAAACACTGTATCAACTCCAGCTCTGAGATCCTGGCTGGCTGAGAGCAGGTTTCTGGGGGTTTGTTTAGCTTCTATATTTGTAACAATGTTTCAAACTGCAGGCTCAGAGGCCGGCAAGGCAGGCGGGGAACGTTGGAGTCTTCTGTCACTGAAGCAAGCAAGGCTCATGCTAGCTTCAAGCTGCCTGGCTGCCGGCCGCCATCTTGGTTGGCAGTTAATTTGCATATCTTGCTGATTAACCAATGGGAAGGGTAGCAGACGTATGCTAATTACCATGATTCTCTTTTATTAGATAGGATATAATATATATATTATAAAATTTAGCCATTTTAAGTATATGATTCAGTGTTTTTTTTTTAGCATACTCAGAGTTGTGCACCGTTAATACAACCTAAATTTAGAACATATTCATCACCCACAAAAGAAACCCTGTACTCATTAGCATTTACTCCCCACTCTCTTCCCTCCCCATTTGGCCCTAGGCAACCACTGATCTGCTTTCTGTCCCTATAGATATTATGGATATTCCATATAAGGTGAATAATACAATATTTGTGTGTGTGTGTGAATAGCTTCTTTCACTTAGCATGTTTTTTACG